AATTTTTTTTTTAAACAAAAATGATCAATTTTCGCACCATTTTGAATTTTGAAATTCTGACTTTAAATTCGAGTTCAGAGACCTAAAAAACCCCTTTATATGCAGTTTCAAACAAAAATTACAATTTTTTTTAAAATTCTCAGCCTATACAATTTTTGTCACGTTTTTAACATAATTTTTCACTTATAAAATTTTTTTTTAGTTTAAACTCTGTTTTGAGCAGAGATAGTTATATAACTGCACGCGCCAACCCCCTCTATTATTTTCCACTTTAATGATTAATTTTTTAAATGCACGGAGAGACCGCCGGTTGGAAAAATTACTAAAAAGATTTACAAGTAGCGGAAATAAGGTTACTTATTGTCATACAGCATACTTAATAAAACTGTAGACTATAGTAATTTCTATTCCAATTTGTGTACAATTTTACTATAGTCTACAGGTTTATTAAGTATGCTGCTAGTAGAATTTTCGATTTCCTACAGCAATATTTGACAATGTAACCTTATTTCCGCTACTTGTAAATTTTTTTAGTAATTTTTCCAACTGGCGGTCTCTCCGTGTGCGTGCAAATATTAAAAATTTTATCTAAATTTTGAGGTTATGTTCGTTTCTTGGTTAGAGGAATTTGAAGTGGTTTGTCGGGCATAACCTCAAACCCAACGGTTTCTTGGCGAATTTTGAGGTTGTTTGACCTATGACCTTGAATTTTGAGGTTATGTTTAAACTATCTTGAATCCTGTAAACTATGCCCTAGAATTTTGAGGTTATATTTTATTTATCACCTTGAATCCTGGAAACCTATGCCCTAGAATTTTGAGGTTATGTTCGTGGGGAGGGGTTTAAGGTATTAAAATGAGAACTAAAATCACGAAGTAATAATAAGGAGCTGGAACTCTATGGGCGATTGCCTGGCAAAAGCGTGCCGGTTTTCTAGGCATGTACTTAGCAACTAGAATAAACGACAGTGGCGTTTCTTGCGGGTACTTGAAGAAGTTTAATGTTTCCAAGTTTGTTTGTCGTCTGCTTCACTGACAGCACGAAGGCTGACAAAATATAATTTAAACCGAAACATATAAAAGTGTGTTTTAAATATTTATTTTTAAGAAAGTTGTACCCTAGTAGAAATTTGTCCTAGCTATTTTAAAGGAACTGCCTAGTCGCGCTGGAGTCTGTCTAGTTACTTGACTGACCAGCTAGCTAAAAACTCGAATGTCATGTCACGCTTTTTTCATCAAGTTATTATCCAGCCCAACTTGATAATTATTTATCAATAGGACTTTTGAAAAACTAGTCAAATTAATTCTTTTAAATATTTCGAAATTCATTTAATAATAAGATTTAATGTAGTAAACACGTTTATTTTATGTAATTAAAAAAAATATTCCAATTATCAACAAAAATTATTATAAGAAAATATATTGCACTAAATATAGTAATTCGTTATAAAAATGTAATTTTTCATTCACAATTAAACTGGATTTAAAAAAAAAATTTACATAAGTAAAACGATTGAAGCAACATCTTGACCTGAACTGTTAACAACACTGAAACAATTATAATTTTTATATTAATATGAATGTCATAACATAAACCTTAAAACACTTCTCGCAGTTTCAACGAAAAAATCTTGGGGCTACCGGGGAGCGAACACGGGTCCGCTGGGCGGGAACGAAAGAAACGCACGCTTTACGCAACTCGGCCGTTCTGATCAGTGATATTAGAATAAATGCTTGACGTATTTCACTGTACCTAATAATATTATGAATTTGTGCATATTATTTTTATTATTTTCTAGGCAAATAAACATTTTAGATGTTTATTTGATTTTAAATGATTTACTTATAATTTAATTTAAACATTAGACAATTATAAAAAACTAATTACTAATTTTTTTTATTTATTATCCTCAAAAATTATATGTAAAATTTTATAAATAAAATTATTTTAATAAATTAATAATTATTGATATAATATAATATTATTATTATTATTATTATTATTATTATTATTATTATTATTATATTATTATAATATACTCAAACAGAAAAATAATATTCTACTATATTTGTAAAATTTGTCTGAAAATAATAATAATTGTTTAATCATTTTTTTTTAAAAACTAAAAACACTTTTTATTCAAGGTAATATTATTTTCATAATAATTTAATTTATTGCAATTATTTAATTATAATTTAATAAATTTTATTATTTTAAAAAAGCGCGCGCTATTTTGTCTTGGGCCAATCAAGTGATTTCAACTAAATATAGGTTATGTTCGTTTCTGATTCATGACAGCTGGCAAACATTTACAACAAATAATATTTTGCAAGTGTATATTTATTGCAATAAGATAAGTTATGCAAAAAATATATATGTGGAACAATAATTTACAGTGATTTTCATAAAATGAATATTGATTTAGATGCTCTGGAAAGCAAAGTTCATTTTTTCTTAAATTCAATTTTTTCGACCACCGAGATATTTCGATACATTTTCATGTGTTTTGTATGCACTGTCTTTTTTTGAGAAAGGAATATTAATATTATTATTATTAATTTTTATAAACAAGTTGTAATTTTTTTAAATCAAGCAAGCGAAATGTCAATACACAAAATCCTAGCATAGCTGTCCAGTTACTAGACTTATTGAAGCGCCACCGCCATGACAAGGATATGAATTTAATTTCGAGCAGCACTGGACAGTGCCATTAAAAAAACTGGATAGCTTTGAGTCGTGGAATTATCAAGTTCAACTTGAATTTCTTTCAAAAAGCACTGATCAGTAACTTCACAGTTATTTATCAGTTCAGCTAGAATCAGCGTCCGCGAGAAAAACTGTCAAGTAACTTGAGTCAATCTAGTGCATCCACGACAAATTTCTACTAGGGTAAAAGTTTTATATATAATGAGTGTAGAAGAAGGGAAGAAATTCGTAGACGTAAGTATTTAATGTGATTACGCTTTGAATTAAAGTAAACAAAGTTGTAATTAATGTTTTCTGCAATGTTTGTTGATAGTTTTTCATTAAAGTTGTTATTGCATTGGTGAAAATTTATTCTTTTAGTTTTCAGTGTTATAAATTTTAATAAAATGAAAAAAGTGAAAATAAGTAAATGATGCCTGCAAATAATTTTTTTTTTCGTTTGTAGGTTATGGTGCAGTGCTGTTTGGAAGAAAACCAAACCATTGAATTATAAATTAATAATTGAAACGAATTGTATATAATAATTACAATGTAGTGGTATATAAGAACATTAATGTACTAAGAATTTTCGACATTTATATTATTGTATATATGTTGAAAGAATGTGATTTTTACAAAAGAAATAAATTGTATATTATTTTTTAAGAATGTAGTTTATTTTAAATATTTTTAAATAAATATTCAATGTACTTTAAACATTTACGAAGATACAGTAATTTTAAATTATAATTTAAAATTGCAATTTAACATTTTTTTTAAAAATAAACATTTAAGATAAGTTAAACATGTATATAAATCGAAATTTACTTTATAGTTAAGTCTCATTTTTTGAAATTTTCATTTTCAGAAAATAAATTGCCAATGTCTGTGAGACATATATATTACAATAAGAACATATGTTTTAAAACCTTTCTATTTCTTAGGAATAAGAATTTTAAAGTTAAATAGAACTCAGCAAGACCGGCAAACACCAAAAACAAACAAAATGGCGATAAACACATTTCACTATTGATCACGTGATCATCCGTGATTCCACAATTACCCGCAAGGATCGCCACTATCGCTTATTCTAGCTTCTAAGTACTTTACCAAGGGAATCGGCACGCATTTTGCCCACGAGTTCCAGCTCCTTATTATTACTTCGTGACTAAAATACTAATATAGGTATATGGGCCATTCCATGTCAAGAGTAACGAACTTAACCTGCTATAACTTTGTCAAAAACGCATGGGTTGGATGCACTTGATATGGAATGACCGCCATCCTTGTCAAAATATATATAGTCATATATATATTAGTCTTGTAGAATACTTTTTAATGAAATTAAATTTATTAAATAATACCCTCTCTGACATATTTGTTGAAGAATAATTTACATTTCGTAGTATGTTAAATTTTTTTAATTTTGAAAAACTATAACTTCAAATTTGTAATCAGCGACCTCAAAAATAATCCCCGAGTAACGAGTTTTAAGCGAATTCGATCAATTTAAAAAATTCATTCGCCATATTGGATCAGCCATTTTGAATTTTGAAAAACTGAATTAAAATTCGTAATCGCAATCGCACTCCAAAAACCTGTGTATGTACCAAAAGTTTCATAAAAATCAATTACGTTAAGAATGTAACATATTCTTATAATGCTGAAGTTCGCAACGTTTTTATAAACGAAAACGAAAAAATAATTAGACAATATCCATTAATTTTGGTTAAAATTAAAGTTATTCGGGGGTAACTGGTTTTTATAAAAGTATTAATTTCTTGAAAGTTTGTGCAAATCAAAATTAGAGATATAAATTGACATGAAAAAATAATTCTATTTTAATTTTTCGTTTTTGAAAACGTTGCGGACTTCAGCCTCATATATTCTTCTTCGAATTTAGTCAAAATACAATGTTATATTTTATCGGTATAATATTTAAGTTATACATACTTTTGAAATTAGTATACGTGTAATTGTTAATATTAGAATAATAATGTTTCTTCGTAAAACAATGCACGCAAATCTTGTCAACTTGTCATGTAAGCACCCATTATGCCTAATTGCAGACAACCGAATACATTGACAATCAAAAGACGATCTAACAGACTTCTGTATAGGATGAAATCAAGATGGCGGTTTTGCAATTGGGCTTGTCCCCGTGACGTCATTGGTTCACCGTCAACCAGTTAGGACGAAGCGAATGCTTTGAAACTCCGCCTCTACTTTATAGAATTTAACTGACTACACTATACCATCTATACCTATAGAAGACTTGGAAGCTTAAAAAGCAATTCAGTTGTCCGTTGACTGCGGTTCATTACAGTTCGATTATAATAATCTATCCAAAAATAGTATTTCACATTAAGTATTCATGTTTATAAATTCATTATCTTAAAAATGTATTTATTTACCCTCAATCGAAAATTCACCATTTTTACTGGCACAGTAAATTATCATTATCGAAATATATAAAAAAAAAAATTGTGAATAGAAGGTATAGTTTTTCAAAAACATGATCGAGATTTATCAGAAGTGTAATATTAAGCTTAATTTGAAAAATGAAGTTTTAGTGTGATGTTAATTTTTTTTAAAAAGTATTTTTCTGTTTGTGCTTGCAATAGTGAAGTAAAATTATAAGTGAAGAAATATGTGTATTTCTTCTTTTAATCCCTAAACTCGTGGATGTAATAAATATATCAAAAATATGGAATGTTAAGTGAAAAAAATATTTCATCTTGATGTGAAAGTGAATTTAGTTGTGTTATTGAATAAATATTCTTTGTCATGGATTCATCAGTAGAAGAAACTGAACTGGATGTTGAATCTGTAAATGATGAATTGGAGTCTGTTGAAGCTAAAATGCGATCAATTCCAAAACCTTTTACAATTGAAAGTTTAATTGGCAATAAAGGTCAAACAGTGGGAGTCGAAAGGGAATATATAAAACCAAATGAAAAAATACGGGGAAATGAACAAAATTCTGATCAAGAGAAGGAATTTTTTTATCAACAACATTGTCTTGCGACGGCAACATCAGCACTTCCAGGTTTGTAAAAATATTGCTAATATACGATAAATGTGAATTCAAAATTATAACAAAAATGACATATTATTTTTAATTTTTCCTTGTAGGATTATTGTATAACTCATGGTTACCAATAAGAATGTACGGTGGCAATAGTGGTCCAGTGATTCCTTCGCATCTGGCTGCAAATTATCCCTCACAACAAAATCATCAAAGTCAATTGTCTCACAATTTGACTTTTGGTTTAAGCAACTATCATGGTTCTGTTTATTCCGCTAATCATACGCTGCATCAAAGTACAAACTTAACAGATAGCGAAGATGACAGAAGCCTATCACCTGCATCTCCAATTCATGATCTATCCAAGTCACGGCAGGGTAAGTATTATATTTAAAAAAAAATACTTTTCATTTAAATAATCACTAAATTTCAAAGAACAAACGCTAAGTAATGTTCACTCTTCACATACATATATATATATGTCTCCCTCTCCTTCTAATAACACAGTAAAAACAAAGTCTTTAACCGTTTACACCTTAAATTAAGCCCATGTATAAGTCTGTCCTTTGTCTAATTGGTCTCATTCCCTTTACACCTTAAATTCAGCCTTAAAAATAGGCTGAAATCAAGAAAAGAAAGAAAGAAACAGATAAAATCTTATTGTTTAAATAATCGGGTTTTTGTGCTACATCTCCTTTCATAAAAAACTTACAAAATTTATTTGTTTTAATTGTAAGTTTAACAAGATGCTCGACTTTTGACGAGAATTTGTCGATCGATAACCGCGCTTCTTTGTGCATCACTGCGTTTACTATTGTCATTCATTCAGTTCTAATATATATAAAAAACTAAAAAATTTAAGTACATATATATTTGATTTGATTAAATTATTTTTTATTCAAATTTTAAATAAAATAATGATAATAATAATGTTGATTAATTTTAATCAATATCGATGAAAAGGATGTATAAAAGAGACCACTGGCCGCATAAAGAAACCTTATAATTTACAAGCATATATTATAGGTACACTTCTGAATAGAACTCAAAAAAAGAAAGATCTCAAAGAAGATTTTTATACCTGCAGATATAATTTTTTGCACATGTGAACCCAAAAAAATAGATTTCTTTGATTTATTCTTTGATGCAAAGATAGTTTATTTGTTTCAAACAAATTATCTTTGATTCAAAAAGAAATTATCTTCGTTTCCAAGAAATTTTTTATTTAATTCAAATAAATGTTTCTTTGATTTAATGCACAAATTTTCTTTGAAAATAAGATACTTTTTTTGTTTAAAAAAAATTTTACTTTGAATGAAAGAATAAAACAAGTCAAAGAAATTAGTATATAAATTATATAATTTTTTCGTAAAATTTTGAGGTTTAGTATAAAAACGTGTTGGACCAGAGGGATTTGTTTTTTTTAGAACCATTAAAAATCAAAATTGTTGAGGAGGGGAGGGGTCTAGTTACCTGAAGGGGGATTAGAGTTAGTCTCAGCCGCTCAATCGAAGTAGTTATTGCGATGTGGGACAGACATATAGTCCGAATGCCTATAATGCCCTATTACATGGGTACCCTCAATAATTTATTGTTATAATAAATTATTCTTAATATTAATATTGAAATAATATACATATCCGCAGGGTGTCTAACAAGGATTAAGAAAAAAATTCCCTGACTTTTCCCTGACATTTTTTGATTTTTCCTTGACTTTTTAATAACCTTATTACTGCTTTATTTGGACAAAAATATGGTTACTGACATTTAACAATAAATTAATCTCTAATGGTAGTAACAAATGGTAATAAAAACCATTTAAGTTTTTTTTAGATTAAAAAATTTTTAAATTCCCAAAAAATTTTTATTTTTGTAGAAATTTACAGAAATTTCCCTAACTTTAAATAAAATTTTTTGAAATTCCCTGACATTTCCCTGATTTTCCCTGACCGTTAGACACCCTGATATCATATACATGAAGATATTTACTGAAGGATATATATAAATCTGTCCTAAATAATCCACTTTTGAAAAATTTAGATTATTTCTCAATTTTATACATTCACACACTGCCCAATTTCTATTTCATTCAAATGCTTTCGGATACCTCTTAAAAATTGCAGAAAAATGTCAGCTTTCAAATGGTGAGTGTCAAAATTGTCCAATTCAATAAAATCATATAAAAATCTCAAAAAACTAAAAAAGAAAGACAAAATGAAATTGATAAATATTTAAGTACAGTGATTGTTTATTGGTCTTTATTCTGTTCTTAGTAACATATTATAGTACGTACTCTATATACTTTATGTAGACTATGTCGAATGAGTGTAAACCAATATGTCGAATTCAATATAGATGATAAAATGGTTTTAAATTATTGAAATTACTTTATTTTTAAAAAAAATTATATCAAAAAGTTGTCTAATATAGTATGTATTCTTAATGCAAAACTAAAGTTTAATTTCTTAATTTTTATACTTTTTAAAATTTTCATAGTCGCCAAAGAAGTATTTGAATTTGAAAATCTTTTAATTGGCAATTCTTTGTTGCGGCACATAAAACAGTGACTATATTGAGAATTTCTGGAACTTGTGGGAGCTGCAGCAAATCTTGCGTTTAAAAATCTTTTTATTTTGTTGTGTTCTTTTTCAGTATGTCAAAAAAAGTAATAAAATTTTGAAATTTAGATGAAATTCAGATGTGCATTTAGCAACCTAAAAATCGCCATTAACCAGTTTTTCAAAAATTCAGTAATTTTAATAATTTAAAAACATTTTATCGTCTATATTGAATTCGCCATATTGGTTTACACTCATTCCATATACAGTAAATCGGTAAGTATATAGAGTCCAATACAGAATAGACTCCAATAAACAATCACTGTACTTAAATATTTATCAATTTCATTATTTTTTTCAGTTTTTTGAGATTTTCATGATGATCTTATTGAATTGGACAATTTTGACACTATATCATTTGAAAGCTAACATTTTTCTGCAAATTTTAAGGGGTATTATGAAAAAGAAAATGGGCAACATGAATGTAAAATTCAGAAAGAATGCCCCAGATATATAAAATATGGTATTCCGCATTTTAATCCATAGATTTATGCTTAAAGTTTAAGATGTTTAAGACAAAAATATCTCAAAAAGAATCCAGTATAGTTATCTCAAAAGTGACTTTGATTATATATAAAAGTAAATTTTTTTTTAAATTATTTAAAAATTTTTAACCTGTATTAATTAAAATGAAATATGTACTTTGTAAAAAAAAGATTTATAAGTTGTAAAAACTAATTAAACAGAACTTGGAAATTTAACAATATATTTCCACAGGTACTTACGATTAATTGAAATAAAACAGACATAGCTATTCTGAGTATAATCGATTTGTTGATTATAATTAAAATGCTATAATGGTATACATTCTTCAATACACGCTCATATAACTCCAGATCGCTTAAACTGACTCTAATTAACTCGCTTTCATATACTAACGATGCTAGAGGAAGTATATTGTTAGTCTACTATTTGTATTCTGCAGTGAAAATTAATGTCCCGATAAACTGTAATAATATTATGTTCATCTTAATTGGTGTAATCAAAAATATATTTATTTCTATCAAATAATATTTATATTTAAATCAAATAATCTGTATTTAAACAATATAATAATTTTCGTATTTGAAACAAATAAAATTTAACAAATCTGTACTGTCCAAAGAAAATTTGGAGAAAAAAAACAGTTTTCGTAAATTTGATATAAAATCTAGAAAAACCAATATTTTTCAATCAGACTACTTTGTTTCTCTTCAGAAGGGTTTAGAGAAAGAAATACAATTTTTTGTTTAAAATATTTTTCCTTATTAATATTTTTTACAGATTTTTGAAAGAACCTCATAAAAAGGGATAACTTCTTGAAGCTACCCGTCCCTGACGAATTAATTTAAAAATTTGATTTTTGCATGCGCTGAAAGCTTGTTTCCTTACCTTTTAAACCATATGTATTAAACTTTGTGTTTATCTGAATTTATATTCATTTTATAATGTGATTTCGAAGGGACTCACCTGAGTCTTTTTTATCATGCCGGAATAGGACGTTAGACGTTTTGTCATTAAAATAGATATGTCTGTCTCACTTGCACTCATGGGCCACTTTATAGGTTAGATTCTTAAGTGATACTAGAAGAATGTTATTTTAATTTTTATATGTAAATCAACGGATGAAATATTTTCAATTTCATTTTGCCAAATTATTTTTAATATAAATTCATAAGTCATATTGAAATATTTTATTTCAATAAATTATTATTAAATTTGCACATGAGTGCGTATATAAAGATAACTACCAAAGCTGTCATGCTATTAAACATCAGAAGTCGAAGAACTTGAAATTCCCCCAAATTCCCTAAGTATTACTAGGTATGTACCAAACAGATGAATATACACAAAACACAAATATAAAATGGATTTTATCACGTTTTTCACAAAAAAAATTGTAAAATACACTTTTTTTATAAAATTTAAAAATTTTTCTTTAAAAATTAATCACAAAGCATTTCTGATTATAATGTCTAATTTAGATGTATTTCTATTTCTTTGACCAAATCGGTGTGATTAATAATTGAGCCTTAGCGTACAATAACAACAGGTACGCTTGGACTGTCTGTCCCAAAAGCAATATCTACTTCGAGTTGCGCGGTGGAAATGAGAACGGGCCAATAAGCAGATTAAATTCTATCCCCTTCTACGCAACTTGAAGTAGATATTGCGGTTGGGAGAGATAATTCAAGCGTACTTGTTGTTATTGTACGCTGAGGCTCTATTTTTAAAAATTGTTCGCTAATTAATTGTATTATATATTTGCGATGTCTAACTGTGATTACTTCTATAAGTTTTTTTCTAAATCCATAAAAAAAACTAGGGTCAGTCAGGGTAAATCCGAACGGGGGGTAAATCCGAACGCTAATTATTTCAGCTTAATTAAAATTTTTAAAAATAAGTTCGATATGAGAATTTTTACCTCAGATCCTCTTGAAGAGATTCTAAGTATTATCCCATTTTTTGTTTGTTAATTAGCAACAGCATAAACAAAGATAACAAGTATTGCAAAAAAGATTGAAAATCAAAGATGACACTCTTTCAGTATTTTGTCTCGTATTTGAAGAAAAAGAAGCTAAAAATTCATTTTATTATTTATAATTGTTTGTTATGAATACTAGAACAGAAACTATATTTGATTTTTGCCTTCTGTAAAATTTTATTAATAATATCAGACCGTTCGTATTTACCCAAGAAAATTGGAAAACTGGGGTAAATCCGAACGGTATTTTTAATAATTTTTTTTTACATCAGAGCCACACAAAATTGTTTTTATT